TATAGGAACAGTAATAGACATAGAAGTTGGTTAGTGTTAGGTTAGGGTTATAGAGTTAGTCTACAACCTAATCTAGGAACAGTAACTTAATAGAGCATGGAAAGTTGTATAGTTTAGGGTTAGGGTTAAGGATTCAGTCTAAACCCTAACCCTATAGGAACCGTTGTATAGGTTAGGGTTAGGGTTAAGGATTCAGTCTACAACCTAACCCTACTTAAGAACAGTAAGTGCATAGAAAATGTATAGGTTAGGGTTAGAGAATCAGACTACAACCCAGGTCTATCAAATCCATGGTTCTTCAATAACCCTAGAGAATTCCTAGAGAGTACTAGTCTAATTATAAACACCCTTGCCAATGTCCTCCAACAAAGTAGCCTCTCTCGGCGTCCATCCCAGCTCCTGCTGCGTCTTCGTGCTCGACGCCCGGCTGTCCGCAGCAAACGGATATCCAACAAACCCAAGTCGCTGCACGGCGTCCTGCACAGTCTTGGACACGACAGGCACCTGCAGGCTCTGCCCGATGGCTTCAGCAATGGCTCGCGTGGGCACCGCCTCCTCGCCGACCGCGTGGTATCGCGATCCGGCGACTCCCTTCTCCAGGGCAAGCCGGTAGAGACGGGCTGCATCGCGGCGATGCACCGCCGGCCAGCAGTTGCTCCCCTGGCCGATATACAGCGACTCGCCGTGTTCCTTGGCGGCAGCGCTGATTCTATACACAAACCCCCTGTCGCCGTCTCCGTGCACACTCGGAGCCAGACGGACGACACTCGATCGGATCCCCCGCGCGGCGAGGGCGAGCACAACCGTCTCGGTGGCCGTGCGGATCTTCATGGGCGACTCCATGTCGACCGGCGTATCTTCGCTGCCGACGAGATTCTCTCTAACCATGGCCATCGTGCCCGAAGTCACCACAAGCGGTTTATTCGTTCCCTCCAGCGCCGACGCCAGGGCTTCGATCGCCGCTCGCTCTTCCACTGCGTTCTCTGCAAACTTGGCAAAGTCATGGTCGAACGCGAGATGGGCCACGCCCTCGCACTCGGACGCTCCCTGTTTGAGCACGGAATGGTCTGCCAGCGTCCCGCGCAGGACCTGGACGCCTTTCGCCTGGAGAAGGGCTGCAGAGGCGTCGGAGCGGGCGAGTCCGACCACGCTGTGCCCTGCTGCGAGCAGTTCGTCGACCACGGCGGACCCGACGAAGCCGGTGGCTCCAGTAATGAGGAATTTCATAGTGAGATTGATGGGTTTGTAGGACATGATTCAATATTAGCAGACTGTTTATATACCACATAATCTCCACGGTTAACTCCGTCTCACTCTTGAATCCGAAAAGCGGTTAGCGTGGATTACTACTACTTATAGTAGTACATAGTAATAAGTGATGGTTCAATCATCTAAGCATCACCTAGGAATTGTAGGAATCAATATATATACTCTATACTCTTGAAAGCTTTGAATACTTACCTAGATAATGAGAAGAAGAAAAGAGAGAAAATAACGGAATTGGATCATAGGAATTATGGAAATTATGGAAATTATGGACCTTAGAAAGAATAGCTGATCATGTGCCAAGAAACTGACATTTCTATAACAGAGGTATACGGGTAAAGAGCTGTGGAGCTGCGGCAGATAATATCCGCAACTGCCGGTGCAGTTCTAGTATTAGGTACTTATCCTTTGTTATCCCTTATATTAAGCAGGTACAGCTATCCAATGGTTTCTCAGTATTAGTTAGATAATATTAATGTCTAGACACTAGCATCTTTATACTCTGAGGAAGCTGTCACTGGCCCACTGCAAGCCATGGCTCATCTAAGCTTTGACATCTCCCTAGTTTCTGTTAGTGACACTAAAGAAGAAGGTAAATAATGGGGACCCATTAGAGTGTTTCTAGTAGTATGTAGTAGTCACTATTAAAGAGTATAAGTTATTGTGTGTAGAGTCCAGTAATATATTGCTTATCAGTATAAATTAATTATAGTATACGTATATAGTATACTATATAATTATAGTATAATAAATTATGGCATGTACTCGGCCTTAGCACAGACAGAGCCTAGAACACATAACCTTATTAAATTAGTCCATCGCTTGCATCGCTTAGCAAGAGTAATTAAACTTAATAAAGCAGACAGGATTAATATAATACCATGTCTAGTCTGAAGAGGGTCTGCTATGCCGCCAGTGATCTCCAGCATCTTCCCACGTGCTTGAGCTTCATCCAGTCGCTCGACAACGTGCTCTGTTAGAAGTATCTTGTGATGAGATATTGGCCTGTGATGATTCGTCCTGTCAGCCACTGCGAGGAAATACCTCAACACGTGAGGTCCGTGAAGAATGTTATAAAGGCGGAATGTGATCCTGTCTGTCTCTGCATTCTTCTGTCTTCGCTTCTCCATCTCTTCTTCTCTTCTCTTCTTCTACCATGCTCTCCCTCCTCCTGGCCGGCCTGACGCTGGCTGCCGCGCAGACCACCAGCGTCGAGTATCCCACCGCGGCCGAGATCGAGGCGGCGCGTGCCTCTGTGCTGCCTTACTCGCCAGTATCCAACGTCAAGGGCAAGGCGTTCAGTCGCTTTGTCGACATCTGGCTGGAGAATGTGGTAAGAGCATCTTCTCTCCCAATGATTACCAAGCAGCTGTTGATGCCTCGATCCAGGACTACCCTACGGCCAGTCGCGACCCCCATCTGGCGGCGCTGGCGAAAGAAGGCATCCTGTTGACCAACTACTGGGCCGTGACACACCCGTCCGAGCCGAACTACTGCGCGTCGGCGAGCGGCGACACGTTCGGCATGGACAACGACAACTGGCACCAGATCCCGGCGAACGTGTCGACCATCGCGGACCTGTTCGACACCAAGAGCCTGGCCTGGGGCGAGTACCAGGAGGGCCTCCCCTACGCGGGCTACCAGGGATACGAGTACCTGGCGGCGTCCGGGGCCAACGACTACATGCGCAAGCACAACCCGTTGATCCTGTTCGACTCGGTGACCAACGACGCGCTGCGGCTGCGCCAGATCAAGAACTTCAGCAGCTTCTACGAGGATCTCGAGCACCACAGGCTGCCGCAGTACATGTTTGTGACGCCCAACATGACCGACGACGGCCACGACACCAACGTCACGTACGCCGGCAAGTGGACGTCGGACTGGCTCACGCCGCTGCTCAAGAACGACTACTTCAGCGACGACACGCTGGTGATGCTGACCTTTGACGAGGCCGGCAACTACACCTACATGAACAAGGTGTACACCTTCCTGCTCGGCGGCGCCGTCCCGGACCATCTGCGCGGCACCACCGACGACACCTTCTACACCCACTACTCGGTCATCGCCTCGCTGTCGGCCAACTTTGGCCTGCCCTCGCTGGGCCGCTGGGACTGCGGCGCCAACCTGCTGAGCCTGGTGGCCGAGCAGACGGGATACGTCAACTACGAGGTCGACACCACCACTCTCTTCTCCAACGAGACGTACCCGGGACCCCTCTCGGCGAACGAGTACTCGACCTACTCGGACGTCTGGCCGGTGCCCTTGACCGCGGGCGAGTGCTCGGCGGGCAACGGCATCGTCGACGTGGTCAAGAAGACCTACAAGGGCCGAGAGGCGACCTACAATTACACGGCGCCGTTTCCTTATAACGCCAAGACTGGGAATAACGTCGGCGTCAAGTATAGTCGCAAGGAGAACGGCAAGGTCGAGGTTTTTGAGACATAATCATATTTATATGTATTTAATATAAGTTATACTTTGGTGAGTATTTTTCGGCTCGGTCCAGCGGAATGTCCTGATGACATCACGATCTCACCACTTCACTCCAAGGAACTCTCCAAGTATCAAGCATCAAGTATAATATCTCAGAATCGAGTCAGTATGCAGAGTATCCGAAGTATCCGAAGTATCTCCAAGGTGTCTGGTATTACTCTCTTTATACAGAAATATAACTGACTACAACAATAGACTGGCATCCGCCATCTGAGTCTGCTGGAGCACCGTTCCCACCGTCTTTTAAAGGACGTCAGTCTTCTCTCTTTCTCTTCTAACTACTCTTCTCTCTTTCTCTTCTAACTACTCTTCTCTCTTTCTCTTCTAACTACTCTTCTAACTCTAAGTACTCCATTCCAACTCCCCATGGATTCGTCGTGTCCACGCCCGAAGAAGCGGAATACGTCGTCACCAAGATCGGTATGACTCTCTGCTCTACACCGTGTCAGGCTAACTGTGTAGATGCCCCCTCGGTGTTGAAGTCGCAGATCCAAGCCGGCGGACGCGGCAAAGGCAGATTCGACAGCGACGGGAAAAGTGGCATCCGGATCGTCGGGCCAGAGGAAGCATACAAGAACGCGGCAAACATGCTGGACCACCGGCTCACGACCAAGCAGACGCCCGCCGACGGCCTGTTGGTGCAGAAGCTGTACATCTACCGCGCCGTCGACGTGCAGCACGAGTTCTACCTGGCTCTCACGCTGGACCGCGAACGAGGCAGCCCGCTGCTCCTCATCTCCGCCGAGGGGGGGGTCAACATCGAATCGAACACGGAGAGTCTGCACGCCTTTGCGCTGCCTCTGTCGGGCATACCGGCGCGTGTGGTGGAGGCGATCCAGGAGAAGATGGGATTCACGCGGCCGGAAATGGACCGGATCGCCCATCTCCTGCGCCAGATGTTCCGCCTCTTCCGGGAGAAAGACGCTCTCCTCCTCGAACTGAACCCGTTGGTCCGTACGCCCGACGGAGAGTTCATTGTCCTTGACGCCAAGTGCGAGATCGATCCCTCGGCGCAGTTCAGACAGCAGGATCTCTTCCACGCCGATGCTGCCGCTGCAGAGCCCGCCGGGCTCTCGTATATCAAACTGGACGGCAATATAGGCAATATCGTCAACGGCGCCGGTCTCGCCATGGCAACCAACGACCTCATCAGTCTGTTTGGCGGCAAGAGTGCCAACTTCCTCGATATCGGCGGCAAGGCCACCGAGGAGACGCTCTTGACTGCGTTTCGCATGCTGGAATCAGGGGTGGACGGCATTCTCATCAACATCTTCGGAGGTGCGTATACTACGGATCTAGAGTTCCTCTTCTCATGCTAATACCTTCAGGAATCGTCCGCTGTGATATGATCGCGCAGGCCATCGTGTCGGCCGCAGAGAAGATGGACGGCTTCAAAGTGCCGGTCGTGGTTCGTCTGCAGGGGACGAACTGCGAGGAAGCATTGAAATTGGTATGTTCATCGTCCATCAGGAAAGTCTCTGCTAATCTATAGATCGAATCATCCGGGCTGGAGGTACACACCGAGACGGATCTGGAGGAGGCAGCCAAAAAGATTGTCCAGTTGGTGAATAAATGATACAGAATATACAGAATATACAGAATATCAACTGTCTATCGGAGCAGCGATATCATTGCCCTCATTGATGACAATCGTCTTGTTCGACCCCCCCAGACACCAACACGTTCCCGGCGTCTGTCCCCCCGTCCCCTCGACATTGTATGTGCAGCCGACGTCCGTCCGGGACTGGAAGTAGTTCATCGTGTTGCACAGGCTCAGACAGTCGTCAAAGGAGGAGAGCACCACGCTCGCCAGCGTCTCTTTCCCGCTGCCGCTGAAGTCGTGGTTGCACAGGATGCGGTAGGTCACCGTCCCCAGACTCGGGGAGACGGTCGTGTCGTTGGCGGATGGACACACGGACGAGACGGTCGCCGTCGCAGCGCTGGAGGTGGAGGTGGATGTCGATGATGCTGAAGAGGATACCGATGCTGTATTTGAGATCGTAGATGTATTTGGCAGTGTAGATGTATTTGACAGTGTAGATGTAGACGATGATGACGATGATGATGCTGTAGACGACGATGATACAGCACTGGAGTCTATCACGTCAATATGATAATGATATGAATATGAGAATATAATACCTTTCTCTCTGGTTAAACCAACCCCCAGCCCAACTCCCACCCCGACAACCACCACCACCACCACCGCCAACGCAATAATCAGCCAGAACGTCCGCCGTCCAACCCGGTACACTTTCCCTCCTCCCCCTCCCTCTTTGGCCAGCGCATCGTCGTATTGACGGGAGTATTCGCGTGCTCTGCTTCTCGGGCTTGATCCCTTCAGCTCTGCCAACACCGTCGGCCGCGTCCAGCTGTGTCGCCAGGAAGGAAACGGCACGGGCTCCAGGCCCGGCTGCACGACTTCCAGTCCCTGCATCGAGGGGCAAGACATGATGAGGAGGGAGAAAATTAGACAACCAGCACAGAGACGACCGAGAGCGGGGATTCATCTCTTGTATCTTCGTCTTCTCCGGTAGTGGTTCTCTTCCACCCGGTGATTGGAGGCGTAGGCGCCGCCTCCTCGTTGCTATATTTATCTGTCAATCAACACAACGGGCGCTTAGTTGGTGGTAATCAGGGTCCAGGACGTCCTCAGCCCTGTTCTTTAGTTGTGAGTTTATTGTCGTTGTCGTCGTTGTCGTTGTCGAAGGCCTGCCTCAGGCTGTATGCCTTAGGCATAAACTTCCTCAGGCATAAAGAAGTCTGCCTCAGGCATAAACTTCCTCAGGCATAAAGAAGTCTGCCTAAGGCAATCATGCTTCTGCCTAAGGCATAAACTCTGCTCAGGCTCACAAGAACAATAGGATGATTGTCATAGATACATCGATGCCGCGTCTTCCCTCGGGATTTTCCAGCTGATCCTCAGAAGTAAGCAGGAATGATCTCGGATGTCTGTCGCGTCTAGAAACATACATCTATCCTCCGGCAGCCGTCTGGCTTCTGAACGCTCCGTGCCATCCAAGTTCCCGTACGAGGGGCCTTGGGGGTCTGCCCTCATTGCAGATCCTGGAGTGGCTCCAGACTGGCATGAGAACATTCTCTTCTCCACGCCATCTTGTCGTGATTTCCGTGCATTACGACGTAATTGCAGGTTTTTGAGAGTCTGCATATACTAGAGCAAGAAAGAGATATCACTGAGTATTACAAGTATAGATTAAGTAATGTAGAATGATGACTTCCTTGGTTAGTTGGTTGAATCTAAGTGCTATGAGTCATACTATATTCATCTATCATTCATCTATTATTTATTTATCATTTATCTATCATTCATCTATCATTCATCTATCATTCATCTATCATTCATCTATCATTCATCTATCATTCATCTATCATTCATCTTATGATAACACTCCACCAAATTAGTCCAGACGAGTGGCCTCTCTGGCGCGAGCTCCGCCTGTCAGCTCTAACAGACTCGCCTGCATCTTTCAGCTCGAAGCTGGCCGACTGGATCTCTGCCCCGGAACAGCAATGGCGAGAGCGACTGAGCAGGGAGGGCGTGTATGCCGCTATTGCATTCTCCAACGAAAGGCCTGTAGGGATGGTGGGGGGGTTGCCACCAAAGCCTGCTGCTGCTGCTGGCATCCCTGCCGAGCTTGTTTCATTGTGGGTGGAACCAAAGGCACGCGGGACAGGAATCGGGGATCTCTTGATTCAAGGGGTGGAAGCATGGACGCGTCAATCAGGGGGGACCCGATTGCAGTTGTCGGTGGTCAAGGGGAATATGGCTGCGTATAAGCTGTATAGGAGGAATGGCTTTGAGGTTGCTAATGATGAGAGGGATGATGAGAGGGATGAAAATAGGATGGTGAAAGTTCTAATTTAATTACTCATCTATCCTATATAAAGCTCATCCCTGCTTAAGTGAAGGTCATTATGGTGACACAAGGCGTGATATGGCGTGCAGGGAAAGATGAAGAGAATAGGAGAAGAAGAGAAGAAGAGAAGAGAATAAGAGAAAGAGAAAGAGAATAGAATAAAGGAAAGAGAATAGAATAAAGGAAAGAGAATAGAATAAAGGAATAAAGAAAGAAAGAAAGATATATCTATTGAACTATTATTAATACTTTAACTATTAATACTTGACTGTATTTTATAGTAATATACTACTGTAACTACTGTAACTACTATAATTATGTAACTATATAACTACTAGTATTGCGCCATACCCCTCACAACTTCACCCCTTCTTGCACCATTATAAATAAGACCAAGTCTGCAACAGCCCAGCATGCAAGCCATTCTCAAAGCACCAGCGAGCATGTCGTCGACCGTCAGCCTGACGGTCCCGGCGACCGCGACCAACGCCGTGCTGGCGCCCGGCGACTTTGTGGGCTTCGGCTTCGAGACGGCGTTTGTCAACGACTACGCCAACGACTTCTCCAACAAGCTGATGAACTCGGTGGCCAAGCGGCTGCCCGAGACGCTCACCATCCGCACAGGCGGCACCAGCGGCGACATGCTGACCTACGATCCGGGCCAGGCGGCCGTCAAGGTCTGCGTCTCGGGCGACTGTCCCATCGGCTCGTCGGCCGCGTATATCCTGGGGCCGGCGTATTTCGACGGCTTCGCCAGCTTCCAGGACTTCCACCTCAGCGTCCAGGCGCCGCTGGGGCCGACGGTCAACCTGAGCAACACGCTGGCCTACGTCGAGCTGGCGCTCGACCAGGTCGGCGACCGGCTGGCGGCCATCGCGATCGGCAACGAGCCGAACCTGTATCCCGCCGAGTTTGGCGTCAGCTATTCCATCGAGCAGTACGTGGCAGATGTCGAGCTGGTGCGGGCGAACCTCACCGATGCCTTGGGGCTGAACGAGACGATCTTCGAGCTGCTGGACATTAGTGATTTTGCAGAGACGGATTCCACCACCAAGTTCACCATGTATGTATTCTGACCAGTGCTCTTGTGTAGGCTCTGGCACTGATCAAGCAGAATCAACACCTTCGAGCGAGGCATCGACAGCACAGACAATGCCAAGTTCGCCGCGACGCACTTCTACCAGATCAAAACGGAGACCAGCACGCTCGCGCAGATGCAGACCGACCTGATGAACCACGCCGTCATCGTGAGCAACATCAGCGCCGGCGTGCCCCAGGACGTCGCGTACCTGGCCGCCAACTACCCGGCGGTGCAGTACATCTTCTCCGAGACCGGGTCCGGCCTGACGACGCCGCGCGAGATCCAAGACAGCTTCGGCGCCGCGCTGTGGTTTGTCGACTTCCAGCTGTACAGCCTGGTGTCGGGCGTGGCGCGCGTCGACGGCACCCAGCGCCCAGCAGCGAACCATTCGCTCTGGGTGCCCGACGACTCGGCGGGAGACGTCAATCCAGGCCCGCAGGTGCGCGCCCCCTTCTACGCCCAGCCGTTTGTCGCCGACTTCATCGGCCTGGCGCCCGGCAACGTGCTCGAGATCGACCTCGCCTCCGACTATCTGGTCGCGTACGCCTCGTACAACGCCAGCACGGGGGCCGCCGAGAAGCTGGCCCTCATCAACTTCATCGCGTGGGCGGACGGCATCAGCACCGCCAGTCGCGGCAGCGTCAGCTTCGCCGTCTCTGCCAGCGGGCTGCGAGACACCGTCCGGGTGCGCCGGCTGCGGGCAGAGGCCGGCTGTCAGGCCATGGGATACGACTATGCCGGCCCGGAGCAGAACATCACCTGGGCGGGCGAGCAATGGAGTTATTCGCTGGACGGGGGGGAGGGGCATCTCGTCGCCAATGTCAATGTCTCGGAGGTTGTCGACGTCACGGATGGGCAGTTTACCGTGCAGGTTCTGGATAGTGAGGCTATTCTGGTGGACTTGATATAGTAGCATAAGTATATAGCATAGTAGAAGATATAGGGGTTACGTTGAGTATTCAGTGTTAGTAGAGTATATAGTAGAGTATATAGAGTATGCTTAGGGTTGAGTATAGATTCTGTAGTATTCTAGTATAGAACATACTGGTTAGGGTTAGGGTTACAGTATTTAGTGTAGATGCTTGGTTGAGTAGAGTATATAGGTTAGGGTAATAGAGTAGTATCCTATAGTACAGTATATAGAGTATGCTTAGGGTTTATACAGTAATATTTAGGATGTATATATAATATCTTAGGGTTAGGGTTGTATTCTCAGATGCTAGTGAGTATTATGAGATGGACAGCTGTCTGCACACGGTGATAAAAGGAGAGAAATTGCCAGCCAGAAACAACTGCCCACTCTTCACATCATGCACCACACTCGTCGTCGACGGCAGAACACGTCCGTCGCGGTCCTCGAGCACTTTGACGACTTCATGGGAGGGAGAGATACGGAGGACTGTCGCTGGAGGAGTAAATCCCCCACTGTGTATGGCCTGCATCAGTTTGATCGCGTCTGGAAAGGCAGCCGCCCAGAGATTGCCTTCTGAATCGACAGACAGATTGTCAATGGGGATGTTTGTCTCGATCGAGTCGATCTGCTGCAGAACCCGCTCTTCCAGACGGTGAACGGTGATTCTCCCAGTGACCGAATGGGCAAACACTTCGACCGTCGAGTTGGCCCCGTAGACAGTCCCCTCCATCAGATCGCCCTGGGCGTCTATATATGGCCGGTGATTGATCAGGAAGAACTGCAGTCGGTCGGAAGAGAGTCGTCGCACATCCAGTCCGTGCAGATCGATCTCCTTCCCTCGCACGCCAGTATATTCTCCCGAGAGCTTCAAGGTGCGCAGGCCATAGACACTATTGGAATAGTACAGTCAATAATTAGAGTGATATCAGAGTGATATAGCCATCATTCAGAGTCATCAGAGTGCAGCGTTTAGCGTTCGGAAGAATTCGGAGATGACCAAGACAAGCCCATTGCCATGGTATGCTATACATAGTATAGTAGATAGTAACTAGTATATAGTATAGTATAGTATAGTAGTATAGTAGTATATAGTATAGTAGATAGTATAATATAGTATAGTATAGTATATAGTATAGTATATGGTATATGGTATATAGTATAGTAGTATAGTATATAGTATAGTAGTATAGTATATAGTATAGTAGTATAGTAGTAGTTATATAGTATATAGTATATACTATACTATATACTACTATACTATGAAATAACGGTCGTGTTCTCCGCCAAAGTGACACAGTTATACGCCCATTCAATGACCGCACCGCCTCCCTCGGAATGGTTAAAGGTCGGGTTGAGGGCCATCAACTGGCCAACAGTCGTGCCCAGCTTGGGCGCCCAGTCCTTGTACGTGCCGTACGTGACTGCCCAGGGACTGATCTCGCACTTGCTCGGGCTGCACAGCGGCACTTTGATGTCGTTGCCCGGCACGATCGTCGCGTTGGGGTCGTATCCTAGTCCCTGCGGCTCCGCCGTGGCCTGCAGCGAGGCCACCGTGAGGTTGAACTTGAGCGCAATGTACGCCAGCGTGTCGCCCTTGACGGTCGTGTACGTGTGCGGCCCGCCGATCACGCAGTCGCTGTAGTTGTCGTCCGCGTCCGCCACGATCAGACACGTCGTCTCGTCCGCCTCGCATGCCTCCCCGGGGATCAGCAGCGTCTCGCCCGTCGTCAGCGGCATCAGGGCGTCCGCCATGCAGTTCTCGCGCGCAATGTCGCACACCCCGCGCTTCACCGCCGCCGCCACGTCGTAGATCGTCTCGTTCGCTTTGGTCGTGTACGTCCACGTGGTCGTGTTCAAGGCGTCAGGGTCGCACCAGAAGTTCTTTTCCAGAGGCATCGCTGCCGCAGTGCCGAGCACCGCCAGGAGAGGGAACAGCATGACAGAACGGAATGGAGGAATAGACAGAGAAAAGAGGAATGAACAGAGAAGAGGATGCCGGATGAGGGAAGAGAAAACTTGGAGATGCAGAGGATATTTATACTTTACTCTATCCCTATCTCAAGAAGTATACACACACTATAGTTACTCCGGATGTTCTCCGTCTCCAGGTTCCCCACACGTCATTTGCGGGGACTGGGGCCCCCACAATACCAACAAATGGGATTTTTCAATTACGAAGCCATTCCAGTCTTCCATAGCACTCAATCATCTATAATACCTCTTTCTTTTTTGTGCTATCTCCTGCTATCTCCTGCTATACTCGCATTCTATCATGTATACTGACATCTATACTACCCAGATACCGACGATACTAGCAACACACCTACTAAGTCAGCCACACAACCTCCATAGTTGCTCCGGAGTCCCCGGACGGACAGTCCGACGCGCGTCCGACGAGCTAGACGTGCTCTTAGTCGAGTGCTTAGACGCTTAACAGCTAGTAGGAGCTACTAGGAGAATGGGCTGGACTACATCAAGCTTACACGGTTTACCACTCACAGCTACCCCAGCAAGCCACCGTCCTTGCTATGTACGTAGTACGGGCAATACGAAGTGTTTCGGAGGCCAGTCTGCTCCGATCTTGCGGGGTAGTCTCTGTTATGAGTGATTATTATCTATTAACTCTCATCCTGACTATACCATCAAGTCCTAACTAGACTTGGCTTCTATTTCTATTTCCTCCGGTTCAATCACCGCCGCGTGGTCGCCGAAAAGCTCGCTGATTTCCTCGAGAGAGAGCTGGCGGGTCTAACCAGTTAGCAAAAGCTTTGACGAGGGGACTGATAAGAAGGAATACCTCGGGACAATAGAACCAGACGAAGAAGAGGACGACGACCGAACAGGCAAGGAAGACAAGGTAGTATTTCCACCCGATGGCATCAAACGCCGTGGGCCCGCACTGCAGGAAGACGATAGTAGCCACAAAGAGCCCCGACACAGAGACGGCCAGGCCCTTGGCCCGTAGCGGGGTGGGGAAGATCTCGGACGCGTAGATGTAAGAGGTTGCGTCCGAGGTGCTGGAGAAGCACGCGATGTGCCAGAAGAGGAAGAAGACCGCTGCGTTGGCCGCCGACCGCGCCCCCGTCCGGTCGAAGATGCTCATGGCCACGCACTCGCCCACCAGCGCGGTGATCACGCCGACGAAGCCGACCATCAGCAGCCGGGTGCGCCCGACCCGGTCCACCAGCAGCGAGTTGATCAGGTTGCCGATCGGGCAGACCGAGATCCAGCCGCATTGGATGAGGAGCTGGGCGACCGACGAGAAGCCGAGCGATTCATAGAGAAGGGGGCCATAATCTGAATTAAAAACAGTGAGAAGAATCCATACAAAGTATAAGCCAGTTCGAGACGTACTGTTGATTACCAGCGTCCCCGTGCCCTGACAGCCGAAGAGAACGGCAAAGCCGATGAGACATCTCTTGCGCATGGCGGCGGAATGGAACAGATCCATCACGGTGTGTTCCTGGGCATGCTCGCTTCGGATCTGGGCCTGCATGGCCCGGAATTCCGATTCGACAGCGTCATCCGGGACATCCGCGTCGCTCTCGTCGGCCCGCACGGCTTCGAACGCCCGTCTCGCTTCCTCGACCCGATTCTGGTCAAGAAGCCAACGCGGCGACTCCGGCAGGAAGCCGATCCCCAGCGCCAGCAGCAGCGGCGGGACACACTGAATCGCCAGCGGCAGCCGCCATTGCGCCCCGGAGGCATTCACAAAGTAGAAGCCCAGCCCCACCCAGCTGGCCAGCGAGTAGCCCGTGCAGATGAGGATGCCGTGCATCCCGACCAGGAATCCTCGGATGCGTGGAGGCACGATTTCCGACTGGTAAAGTGGAACCAGAGTGACGATGGAGCCTGAATATTAGAACACTGCAGTTATCGTATAAGAGGGAAACCTACCAATTCCTAGGCCGGTGACGAAGCGAAACACAAGAAACATGGCAATATTCACACTGCCGGCCTGCAACGCGCCCCCGACCAGCGTCACCAGCGCCGTGATCAGTAGCGCTCTGCGTCTGCCCAGCCAGTCCGCCGACGTCAGGCACGAAAGACACCCAAACAGGCCGCCGGCCTGGAACAGCCCGCTGACGGCGCCGATCAGCTGCGTTGCGTCGGGGCGCGTGTCGAGCGAGAAGTACGCCACAAACGACGGCTGGTCCAGCGTCGTCGCCACGATGCTCGAGCAGTAGCCGTACGTCATGCTGCCCAGGGCCACAAAGGCCACGACCTGTCGATTAGATAACGAAGAGAGGCAGGCTATGGAGACGACGTACCAGAATGCGGTATACAGAGGGAGACACCATGATAGCCTGGTAGTATCTGGAAATGAAACAACAGGGAATGAAAACATGAAGAAAACAGGAATCAAAACAGGAATGAAAATATGGGAAAGTTGGGAAAAATTGGGAAAAATTGGGGTCCAAAAGGCGGAGAATCCCCGTTCAATAGGGACAATGCGCCAATAGCAGAACGTATTGACTGCCCCAGGATTCGGGCTATGCCAGACTTGCGTAAGCCGGATATCCCCCGGTAAGTAATTTACACGGTACTTTTCAGACTGTACACGATCCTGTCAAGACGGGGGACGGGGGACAGGGCAGATTGATGCTTCAAGACGTGCTTGTTGATCCAGTCGAGGGTGACGCGGTTGATCTCGAGCACGTTCTCCGGGTTGGCGACGTAGTGGCCCTCGTCGGGAAAGGCCAGGAAGGCGCTGTCCACCCCGTTCACCTGCAAGATGTTGAAGGCGGCCAGGCCTTCGGAGAAGACGACGCGGTAGTCCCTTTCGCCGTGGATGATCAGGTGCGGCGTCTTCCAGTTGCCGGCGTACTGCATCGGGTCGTACCGCTGCCAGCTGTTCTGGTGTGCTGCGTCGGCGCGCTGCCACGGCAGGCCCTGGTGGTCGTGGGTGAAGAAGTAGAGTTCATCCGTCGCCATCTGGGCGGGCAGGTTCGTCATGCCGCACTGTGTGACCAGCGCCTTGAACTCGCGGCCGAAATCCTGGCCCTGGATCCAGTTGACCATGTACCCGGCCCAGGAGGCGCCCAGGGCGACGGCGCGGTCGGTGTCGACGTAGGGCATGGTCTGCCTGATGAATTCAAACCCCTTTTTGATGTCTTCGTACGGAAGCCCGCCCCACGAGCCTGTGATGGCCTCCATAAACGCATGGCCAAACCCACGGCTGCCGGTGGGGTTGGGAGCGAAGACGATATACCCTTGCTCGGCAAACACCCCCGGGTGCCAATCTGTGCGCCAGGAGTCGGACCAGGCCCACTGCGGTCCCCCGTGCAGCAAGAGGACAAGGGGGTACTTTTTGGCGGGATCAAAGTCGACGGGCTTGGTCAGCCAGGCATGGATCTGCTGCCCTTGGTATGCACCGTCGTACCAGACCTCTTCGAACTGGCTCGGCGACAGACCAGCGAGCTTCCCGCCATTTGTGACCGACGACACCTGCTGGTAGTGGACTTGTTCGCTGTGGGAGAGATCGAGGATGCTGACTGTACCGCTGTCGACCAGGCTGTTCGTCGATACCAGGAATTTCGACCCACGACCCAGCGGCAGCATGGCATTCATGTATCCATCCGGCTGGCGCAGTCTCCGAAGGTTCTCAAGGTCGGATCCCAAGCTCAGAGACGGGAGATAGTAGAAGATCCCATGTCCTTTTTCCTCCACCTGGACGAGCAGTTCCCCCTTGGCCGTAACCGTGAGCCCCAACGGGACAGCATCCCAGTTGCTGTCTCCGTCCGCAGAAGGGAAAAGAACGTGATGATGATGCGGGTGACCGTGTTTGACGGCGGCGTAGTGCAAGATACGGCTCCGGTCTGCCTCGTTGCCGTCTTCCTTTTGGGAAATGATGAGCAGACTCCCGTCCGGAGCGAGACTTGGAGACGACAACGCTCCGCCCAGGCCTCGCGTGGACCACACCGGGGCGGCTGGCTTGGTCGCCAGCCGGCCGTTCCAGCTGTCGAGGGTGATGACATGGCAGAGACACGCGGTGTGCTGGGCGCTCGATAGCTCTGGGTCCTTGGCAATCAGGGCGATTGTGTTTCCTCTGACACTGAAATCGGCAGTGCCTCCAAAGGGTGGGATGGGCGACTCTACACCCTCCAGACCGGCAAACAGCATGAGGTTGGTGAAGCTGTAGATATGGTACTTGTCTCGGGGACCGTAGCCGTCGGTCTTTAGCAGGCCGAAGAAGATGGCATTCTTCTGCGGGGTCTGGTACGAGTCCCAATGCCGGACAAAGAGCGAGGTGTAGAGTCGCCCAGAGTGTGCCGGTTTCCCATCCTCGTCGGTCTTGCCAGGGTGATACAGCGAGCCGTCCGGATTCGCCCTGCCCGTCACCGCGTACCCGATCTCGCCCGCTCCGTTGTCCACCACCTGCAGATTGGCGAGGACTCCAGGGATGATACCCGCGGTATACACGCTGGCCAACTCGTGGATATCCGTCACCATGAAATGGGTGTAGCCCGACGGTGTTGCCTGGAGCCAGATCAGACGGTCGCTGCCGGGCAACCACTGCGGACTGCCGACCCCCTCGCCGCTTGTGACCACCGTCGCGCTCCCCGTGGCGAGATCCAGCAAGAGAAGCTCCAGAGTATGGGTGTGGGTGTCGAACGAATATCTCGATTGCGTCACCACGGCGTGCGTTCCGGTCGCGTTGGGAACCGCGGGCGAGCACTGGGGGGTCTCGCCGTTAACCCTGGTCGTCAGCCATTTCCCTCTTCGCTCGCTGATGAAGACTTACTTGGGGGTAAACCTGATTGATGCTGCCATGTCGATTCTTTCTCCAAGAACGAGTTGCTGTGAGACTGAAGCTGAGGAAAGAGCGATTGACTGCTGCACTGCAAACACTGCAAACAGCAAACAGCAAACAACAAACACAACAAACACAACAAACTGCAAACTGCAAACACAACAAACTGCAAACATGACAAACACAGCAAACAGCAAACAGCAAACAGCAAACAGCAAACAGCAAACAGCAAACAGTAAACAGCAGTCCTTCTACAGCAGAAGAGCCTGTCTTGTCTTACCCAGCGAATTTACTCTCTATTATAGAAAATTAGTTTCCTGGTGCTTATATGAATATACACAATAAGCTACCTCTATCTAGGAAGGTTTATACTTTCTATATAAATCCCTTCTTTCTCTTCTTTCTCTTCTTTTCTCCAAGTATGAATGATTATAAATATCAGGCGTAGGTCCAAAGTGTTAGTATCTGGGTAAGTGTTTAATTGATAGAGCTCTACCCTATCATTAATATACTATAATTCCTGGATCTACAGTAGAGTGTCTTGTTTTGCCTAATAAATACTGGGTATTCTATTAACTATTCAGACTCTTCTATAGAGAGCAGACTATATCACTCTAACTATAGTAATATTGTTATTCTTCATATCTCTCATCTCCTTACTATTACTATTACTATAGTATGTCTGGAGGCGCAGCATCACGTGCCCAATGTGATCTCGTGACTCGTATTCCGACGCGAGCTGAAGCCTGGAAGAACTTGAACCACAACACACTTCCTCGAACAGAGAGAACACAAGCTGACCGAGTCTCCAGTCTAGCAAGATGAGCGCCTCGGATATCATCACGTACATCGGGGTGCCGCTGGCGGTGCTCGGCGTGCTGCCCATCCTGTACACGTCGTGCCGGGCGCTGTGGACGGAACGCAGCATCCGATCGACGCTGAAACGACACGATCTGCTCGAGTCGGCGGTGACGCGTGTGAGTCTGATGGGCGGGCTGGTCGAGGTGGAATTGCCGCGCTGCTCGATCGCCCCGTTGGACCGCGAGCTGGACCAGGCGTACTGGCAGATGAACGGCGCGTACGGCCTCGTCTCGCTCAAGGGAGGCAGCTGGGCCATCTTCCACTGGAACCGCCTGGTGACGGGCCGCGTGCTGTATCGCTTCCAGTTCAAGGACGAGCTGGTCATCCCGCAGGCGGACGTCGACTTGGAGGAGCTGCTCGCCTTCCTCCTCGACCGCGGCGCCGTCCCCGATCCCCAGGGTTGGCGCCTGTTGAAGAGCGTCGGGCTCTGGACGCCGCCAGGCACGGCCTTGCTGCGTCCGCCGCGAGACTGCACCGGCGTCGTGCTCACCGTCGCCGCCCCGGACGATTCCGACGGCGTGTTGAGTCTGCAGCTCCACTGGAAGCCCGAGTGGGATCGCAGGGATGCCGGCAGTCTGCCGCCTTTTTGGATGCGCCTGGAACAGCCGAGATCGGGATACGACGATGTGCTGGTAGAAGCCCCGTCTGCCGTTCAGTTAAAGGGGAGTCTCTCCAGCTTGAAAGGCAGATCGATCAGTCGCGAGAACACCCTCGTTGCAGAGTCGACGACAGAGTCGACGGTAAAGACTGCTGCTGCTGCTGCTTCTGCTGCTGCTGCTGGTGCTGCTTCTGCTGCTGCTGCTGCTAAAACACCCTCCCTTCTATCAAACATTGAAGAAATCAAGGCCCTCGTCACCACGGTGGACAACAGCAGTGTCCGCTTCAAGATGGACCAGGAACAAGTCAAGACCGTCTTCTTCGAAAAGGAGGACGCCACGATGACCGGCGAGCAGCGAGATCTGTCTCCCCTCGGCGAGACCTTCGGTCTGTGGCTCATCTGCGTCGCCGCCGCGTTGAGCCAGCTGCAAGACGCCGGCGGCGGCGGCGGCGGCGGCGGTCTATGGACCTTCTCCATCCCCAACGACGTCGTGACCTTTGCCCGACGCAAGTCGATCCCCTGCGGCGTGATGGTGCTGCTCGGCCTGCTAAAGGAGTCCGACGTGCCGCCCTGGTCCTCGCCGCCGCCGCCGCAGGGCGAGACCACGATGGAAACACACGAACGCATGGAGGAAGACGCCCTGGCCCGGCGGCTGGAAGCCGCCATGCCCGTCGCGCAGGCCGCCGAGGCCCGCCGCGTGCGCATGATGCGCGAGTCGCAGCGCTTCCACACCAACCATCAGAAACGCATCCAGGCGCAGGAGGAGTACGAGCAGCGCCGGCTCGTCGAAGCCATCCAGTCGCCGCGGCTCGAGAACCACGTCATCGCCACCGCCGGCCTGGTCTATCTGGTTGGCGAGAATGTCGTGCCAGCGCACTACACCGTCGCCCAGCTCGCCCACGCCGTCCTCTACCTCCTGCTGCTCGACGAGAAACAGGCCCAGGCCGTTGCCGACATCCTCGAGCGCTGGACGCTCTGGTGCCAGTTTGGCGGCATGCAGCCCGTCCAACTCACCTTCTTGATGGAGAACAAGGTGGCCTTTTGCTACGCGGCCGCTCTGGTCGCGGTCGTGCGCCACGCCAACGCCGACGACGGCAACCTCTCGGCGGATCTACTGGCGAGCATGAGGTTGTGGAAGCGGGTGCGACTCGGATAATGTTACTATCATATACTCATATGCCCTTGTGATTCAACTGAAGTTTTCGCTATTCTATCTACGACCCTTGTGGGCTCTTATGCATGATTCTAATACTGGGTTAATGCTGAGGATCTGGAAGAACATACGCTCCGATTCTAGCCAGTTAGTAAGGCGCCAAACAAAGTAGAGACAGATAGGAACTCACGATATGACGACGAAGCAAGAGGCGAGCATGAATCCCTCGAGAGAGGTGGTCTTGTTCTGGACCATGAGGAAGCTGACGAGCAGCACACTGGCGAAGAGAACGACGGTCTCATACAGACCGAAGATCAGAGTCATCTCCTTCTGCAGACCCCAGCCGATCAGGACCGTGATCGGGGCAAGGAACAGGCCGATCTGGAGGGCCGAGCCGAGGGCGACGTTAATAGCAAGGTCCATCTCGTCCTTGCCGGCGACAATCACCGCCGTCACGATCTCGGCGACGTTGCCCGCGACAGGGAGGATGATCAGCCCGACAAACGACTTGCCCAGCACGCCGCGCTGGTTGAGATGGCGGAAGCTGGAGACGACGTAGTCGGCCGAGATGCCGATCAGGACGGCCGACAGCAGCAGCAGAGCGAGGGCGAGCAAGAAGTCGAGATGCAGGCGATGCAGCCAGCTCTTATTGACAGCTGGTTTGGGGTGTGCTGTCTGCTGAACTTCATGATCGTCCTCTTTCGACACATCTTCCTCTTCCTCTCCCTCGCCCTCCAGCTCCGGCAAGCTCAGTTCCTGGACATAGGCCAGCAGCGCCTCTTCGTCCGAGGTCAGCGCGTCTTTGGCCTTTTTCTGCATCGGTTTGAACTGGAAGAACAGATAGACCAGGTACACGCCGAGGAGGATGATGGAGATCACCCGGCTGTAGGTGCAGGCGGCTTCATCTGAGATGTCTGTATCCCACAGCGTCGCATCGAATGCCATCTAATAGGATGAGCCTGAGGAATGAACCTGGGAAGACTGGGAAGACTTGGGAATACCGGAATTGCAAAACTAAAGACCGTCAAGTTGAGCAGGCCGACAAACAGCTGGGCAATCTCTCGGTCGTACGCCTGTTCCTTGAACTTCATTCCGCCGACGATCATGGCCAGCCCCAGCACCAGCAACACGTTGACCAGGATGGAGCCCAGAAGCGAGTACTGGACGATCTTGATATGGCCTCTTGCCAGGGCAGTGCTTGGGGTTGTCAGCGGCATTCGTGACTTTGGAGCACAACACTTACACACTAATCCATTAGCCATCACGATCAGGAATAGAGGGAGATCAGTCACGTACAAGACAATCAATTCCGACAGATTGCCAAAACTGATGTTCAGCAAGGCGCCCCCTGCCGGCCCCAGATCGAGGGAGAGCCGCTCCGTCGCCAGCGTCAGGACAATGGACAAGAGCACAATGGCAATCAGGTTCAGCGCAAAGGTCGCCGACGCCGGCATCTCCAGCCACGACAGGAAGATGACCAGCGCGGGAACGAGCAGACAGACCAGCATCCGCGGGCTGAGCAGGTCTGCAGGCTTGGTGGGCTTGTCGGGGATGGTCGTGGCCATCTCCCACAGCCAGTTGAAGGATGTTTTGATCCATGAGGCCGGTTCGTGGAGAGGGCGATCGCCGGTATCGGCCTCTCGAGGCAGTGCCTCGTACTGTTCACTCATTGAGAAAGAAAAGAAGAGAAGAGAGATTAATTAGAGAGAGAATAGAGAGAATAGAGAGAATAGAGAGAATAGAGAGAATAGAGAGAATAGAGAGAATAGAGATTAGCTACAATTTGCTGCGTGAATTTGCAGCCTATAGTAAGCCAGCAGATATCAGTAGAGACTGGACTAGAGGCTAATGGAGATTACTGGGATGACTATGAAGGAAAGACTAGAGTGGGAGGTTGATCTCGACGACGTGTTATTTTGTTTGAATTTTCTGGGCCCCTGAAACCCCTTATTCGTCGCCCCGTTTCTCTTGCGCAATCTGACGTGGCTTGATAAGGTTGAAGGTTGATTAGGGTTGGGTTAGGGTTAGGGTTAGGGTTACAGTCAAACAGTAGTATAGCAAATACTGCAGAATAAGGTTAGGGTTAGTATACATTAGGGTTAGGTAGGGTTACTGGTCTAGTATGTCTAGAATACTGCAGAATAAATGTTAGGGTTAGGGTTAGGGTTGGGGTTAACAGTCGAACAGTAGTAATATAAAAGCTAACTAGTGTTAGGGTTTAGGGTTATTCTTAGGGTTTAGGGTTACAGTCGAACAGTGGTAATAGCAAATATTGCAGAATAAAGCTAGTTTAGGGTTGTCTTATAGTGTATCATTAGGGTTAGGTTGGTTACTGGTCAACAAGAGTAAGCAGGTTAGATATATACAGTGAGTATAGATTTATCAAGTCCTAAAGTGACCGAGTGGTAAATCCCTCAATGAGTGATTTGCCTACCAATAATACCAGCTGTATAGCTTCAACATGAGTGATTTAAGATCAGAAGCATTAGATAAGCCACTCAATATAAAACCAGTCCATCAGCTCACTCTCAGCTCAATCATACCAACATGGCAGGTCAAGAGCACATTCACATTGACAGTGACAACTCTGAGGAACAGAAGCAGACCAAAGGTATTCCATCCTATACCTACCTATACCCCTATACACATATACACATATACCCTATACATATTCCGGTACCGGCACCGGCACCGGCACCGGTTCAGGCTTGCTGACCGGTTCAGGCCTCTGGCATCTTCTCTCCGTCTCTGACCTCTGCCAACGTCTGTCAACTTCTCCCTCTCGCGGTCTCTCGCACCAACAGGTCCAGCAACGCACGGCAGAGCATGGCAGGAACAGGCCGTCGCCGCCGCCCTCGCAGTGGACGAGAGCCGTGCTGGGATATCTGTTCGGCGGCTTTGGAGGCCTCCTGCTCGCCGGCTGCGTCCTGGTCTTTGTCTCCTGGAAGCCCCTGGGCGAGCCGCCCGCGACGGCCAACCTCGCCCTGGCCTGGGTCCTGCTCGCCGTCTTCTTCATCCAGGCCGCCTTCAACGCCTGGCAGGACTGGTCGTCCGCGCGCGTCATGGCCTCCATCACCACCATGCTGCCAGACGAGTGCACCGTCGTCCGCGACGGCGCCCGGCAGAGCGTCGCCGCCAGCGACCTGGTGCCTGGCGACATCCTCTGCATCCAGCAGGGCAACAGGCTGCCCGCCGACGTACGCTTCGTCGACATCTCCCACGACGCCAAGTTCGATCGCTCCCTTCTGACGGGAGAGTCGGAGCCCGTCTCGGCCACCGTCGAGTCCACCGACGACAACTATCTCGAGACCCGCTGCATCGGCCTGCAGAGCACGCACTGCGTCTCGGGCTCTGCGCTGGCCGTCTGTGTGGCCACCGGCGACCGAACCGTCTTTGGCCGGATTGCTGGCCTGACGAACCGTCGCTCCACGGCGCCCACGCCCATGCAACGGGAGATCCGGCGCTTCGTTCTGATCATCGTCGGCTTCATCACTGTCGTCGTCCTCGTCATGATCATCCTTTGGTAGGCGGCTTTCGCTTTCTCCTCCTCTTCTTCTCCTCTGTTCCCAGCTGACTGGCAGGGCTGCGTGGTTGCGCAAAGACCATCCGGATTGGATCAACGTTCCCTCCCTGATTGTCGACTGCGTCAGCGTCGGCATTGCCTTCATCCCAGAGGGCCTGCCCATCGCCTTGACCATGAGTCTGACCATCGTCGCCAACATCATGAAGAAGAACAAGATCCTGTGCAAGACCTTGGCCACCGTCGAGACACTGGGGGCTGTCTCGGTCATTTGCTCTGACAAGACCGGCACGCTGACCAAGGTGGAATCGTTGCTGCTGCATCATACGGGAGATACTGATTCGTTTGCAGAATGAAATGTTCGTCACCGACTGTCTCGTCGCCGGACGCGAATATACCGCGCACAGCATCCGCACACACCATCCCGATGAATCGATCAATCGCCTTCGCCTCGTTTCAGGACTGTGTAACGCGGCCGAATTCGACGTCTCGACCCTCCACCGGCCCTTGCACATGGCCAAGATCCATGGCGATCCCACCGACCAGGCCATCCTCCGTCTCTCGCAGTCCCTTGGCGCCGTCAGTGATCTTCGCAGCGAGTGGAAGAAGGACTATGAGATTACTTTCAACAGCAAGAACAAGTTCATGGTCCGCGTCATGTCCTCTGCAGATTCCAGTTTGTAAGGAGTCCCCAAATACTTGCCATTCAGGAAAGAGACACTCATTATCTACACCCCCCCCCTTTTCCAGACTGCTCATCAAGGGTGCCCCCGATATCCTGCTTCCGCGCTGTACCATGACCTACCGTAAAGACGGCAGCGTGCGTGCCTTGTCTGCCCACGAGCTCGGTGAGATTGAGAGCATCAAAGACACCTGGTCTTCCATGGGCAAACGGGTGATTCTCATGGCCCAGAAGGCTGTCTCTGACGACTGGCTGCAATCCCTGGTATCTTCGCAGGATGACAAGCTTGTTCTGCGGGCTGCCGAGGAGGAACTGGTCCTGGTTGGTCTTGTGGGAATCGTCGACCCTCCGGTAGCCCTCTTATCTCCGATCGAGAAGCCTCGTCTTGGGATTTGCCAGCCTGACTGACTGTTCTCAGAGAGACGAGATTCCCGAGGTCATTGACATCCTCCGACGGGCGTCCATCCGCATCGCGATGGTGACCGGCGACTTCAAGCTCACCGCGCAGGCGATTGCCATCGAATGCGGCATCATTCGCACCCATCCGGCTCTGATCCACGATGTCTCTGAATTGTCGCAATCGAGCTCCGACAAGCCCCTTGCCTGTGAGCGCAACGCGATCGTCGTCAGCGGCTCCGACCTGGGCGGCCTGTCGCCCGATCAATGGGGCCTGCTCTGCCAGTACAGGGAGATCGTCTTTGCACGCACCACGCCAGAACAGAAGCTGCGCATCGTCAAGGAGTTCCAGGCCCGCGACAACATCGTCGCCATGACAGGAGACGGCGTCAACGACGCCCCCTCGCTCAAGGCAGCGGATGTCGGCGTTGCGCTCGGCAGCGGCTCGGATATCGCCATCGAAGCCGCTGATATGGTGCTTTTGGACTCCTTCGCTGCCATCGTCGAGGCCGTCAAGTATGGTCGATTGGTGTTTGGTACGCCTCTCTCCCTCTCTCTCCTCTTCTCGTGCATCTTTATCATCCAGCGTATCTCATTTCAAGCAGACAACCTGAAGAAAACTGTCATCTACCTGCTTCCCGCCGGTAGTTTCAGCGAACTCTGTAAGCATCCAGCAGTTGCCCTCAGACACAATACCATTCTTTCATTTGCTAATTGCAAGGGCCGGTTGTTACCAACGTCGCGCTGGGTGTCCCACAAATCCTCTCCTCGTTCCTGATGGTATTTCTCTCTCTCTCTCTCTCTCTCTCTCTCTCTCTGGATGATAAGTCTAATGTTCAGATTATCATTTGCTGTCTTACCGACTGCGCCGGTGCTATCACCCTCGCCTTCGAGAAGCCCGAGTCGGATCTTCTCCTGCGACCTCCTCGAGATCCCAAGAAAGACCGGCTGGTGGACATCAAACTTCTCGGCCACGCCTACATGATCGTCGGGCTCTACGAGTGTCTCCTCTCCTACGTGATGGCCTTTTGGTACATGCAGGTGTGTCTCCTCTCCGGCTTCCTCCCTCGACTACCACCTATCTATATTGACCTCAATAATGTAGCGCCGCGGTGTCCCCTTCAGCGCAATGGTGCTCAAGTTCGGCGACTACGGCCCAGACTATTCCTCGGAGCATGTGGCGGCTGTCGCAAATGAAGCCTCGTCAATCTACTTTGTCACCCTGGTCATCATGCAGTTCTTTAACCTGTTGGCCATCCGGACGCGCCGCCTGAGTATCTTCCAGCAACCGCCGATCCTGAATCGCGAGACGCAGAATCTCCTCTTGTTCCCGGCAATGCTGTTTGCCCTGTGCATGGTGTTCATCTGTACGTTCTTTCTCTCGTCCCACCCTTTTCTCCCCTTGTTGACCAACTACTTCTAGTCTGCTATATCCCCGGGCTGCAAAAGTCTATCGACACAACCTCCATCCCCGCCGAGCACTTCTTCCTCCCAGTCGCCTTCGGTGTCGGCCTGCTTTTCTTCGACGAAGGACGCAAATACTGTGTTCGTCATGGGCACGGCTTCTTTGCGAGGATTGCATGGTAGACGGGTCGATTCGAGTCTTGCATGCTCTTTTCTATGTCAATTAGTCAGTAGTCTGCCTCCTTCTTATCACCAACCAATGATCTCTCCAGCGTGGCTGGACTGACATCAGCAGGATTCAGCTAGATCCTGATCATTGAAATGATGATGCCTGATCGCGTAGCATTCATAAGCTGAAAAATCCTGCTGGATTGGATTTTTCATCTCTATTGGAAAGTTTGGGCGAATAATTGAGGACCATGTCCAGCCGTCTCCCTGTCAACGTCCGACCAGTGCATTACGACCTGGGTCTAGAGCTAGATCTTGAGACATGTCAATTCCAAGGAACAGTTGATATTAGGTATTCTCTGTATCTCCCCAGTTGCCAGAAAGGTGCTAACGACTAGGCTTGTCGTACAAGAGACGACGTCGATGATCACCCTGCATGCCGTTGATCTGGCAATCCACGATCCCAGGATCTCCGGCGTGGAGATTCCCATGGCCAGCCTGTCTCACAATGCAGAGAATCAAACGGCGAGCATCAAACTGGAGCAGCCATTGAGCAGTGGAGAAACAGCCACCCTCTCGCTGCGCTTCACAGGCACCCTCGACGAGCGTATGGCCGGTCTGTATCTCTCACGCTACACAGACGCCAACGACAAGACACACCGTCTGGCCGTCACGCAGATGGAGCCCACGTATGCGAGACGGGCGTTCCCCTGTTTCGACGAGCCGGCGCTCAAAGCCAGCTTCGCCGTAACGGTGATTGCCGCGTCGCATCTGGCCTGCCTGAGCAACATGGACGTGAAGAGCGTGGAGTATATCACCAGTAATACAAAAAGAGTGACATTCTCCACCTCCCCGGCCATGTCAACGTACATCGTCGCCATTCTCGTCGGCGAGCTGGACATGCTCGAGACGGACACGGCGCGCATCCCCGTGCGTCTCGTCGCAGCGCCGGGCAGGGAGATCGACAGGCTCGGACCCTTTGCATTGGACTTGACGGCCCGTACGCTGGCCTTGTACGAGCAACGCTTCGACAGCCCGTTCCCCCTGTCCAAGATGGACATCGTCGCGGTGCCGGACTACGTCGGCGCCATGGAGAACTGGGGGTTGCTCGTCTACCGCGAAGCAGACGTGCTGGTGGACGTGGCGTCTTCAACCGCCAAACAGCGAGTCGTGCCTTTGATCCAGCATGAGTTGGCGCATCAATGGTTTGGGAATCTGGTCACCATGGAATGGTGGGATGGTACGTCGCATAAACCCCAGAAAATCACAATAAAGGATCGGTCTGATCATCTAGGCCTCTGGTTGAACGAAGGCTTCGCCGACTGGATGTCCCGGTACGCCTGCGATGCCTTGTACCCCGACTGGCGCGTGTGGGAGATGTACGTGGCCGAGAGTCTGCAGCGGGGATTATCTCTCGACTCGCTGCGCAGCTCGCATCCCCTGCAGGTGGCGATCCATCGAGAAGAAGAGATCGGGCAGATCTTCGACGCCATCTCGTACACCAAGGGGGCCTGCATCCTGCGCATGATTGCCGGGTTTCTCGGCCAAGACGAGTTCCTGCGCGGCGTGCAGCTGTACATCAGACGCCATGCGTTTGGAACCGCCACGACGGACGATCTATGGGATGCCTTGACGCAGAGCAGCGGCGGCAAACAGGATGTTCGCCAGCTGATGTCTGTCTGGACGTCGCGCGTGGGATTCCCCGTGCTGACCGTGACGGAGGATGCGACGGCGAACACGGTCCACGTCAGACAGAACCGCTTCCTAGCAACGGGCGATGTACAGCCCGACGAGGACGAGACTTTGTATCCCGTCTTTCTGGGGCTGCGCACCTCGACCGGCGTGGACAGCAAGATCCACAAGACCCTGCTGCTGACGGACCGCGAATGTACGCTCAAGCTCGACAGTCTGGACTTCTTCAAGCTGAACGCAGACCACACGGGCTTCTATCGAACGGCATATACCCCGTCCCGACTGCGTCGACTGGGCCAGGCCGCGCGACAACGCCGGCTGCCCGTGGTCGACCGCGTCGGCCTCGTCGCCGATGCAGCTGCTCTAGCCGCGGCGGGATACCAAGGGACGACGAGCGTGCTGGCGCTGCTGCAGGAATTGCAGTCCGAACCAGAGTACTTTGTGTGGAAGCAGATGGTGGCCAGCCTTGCCTCGATCCGCGCCGCGTGGATCTTCTCCCCCGACGAGACGATGCAGCGCGCTCTGCACTCGTTTGAACGACAACTGGTCAGCGCCAAAGCCCACCAGCTCGGCTGGGTGATCGACGACGACGACGACGACGACACCCACGACAGCCATCTCAGCCGACAGTTCAAGACCCTGCTGTTCGAGAGCGCGGTGCGAGCGGGCGACGAGCGCGCCCACGAAGCTGCGATGGAGATGTTCCGGCGCTTCCAAACCGACCGGACCGCCATCCACGCCGATCTGCGCGCCGCCGTGTTTGCAGCAGCCATCATGACAGGCGGCGAGGAGGCGTATCACCTCGTTCTCAACGAATACCGGACCGCGCCGACGAGCGACCAGCGCATCACTGCCCTCCAAGCCCTGGGCGAGGCGCGCGACCCGCTTCTCCTCCAGCGCACGATCGACATGCTTCTCTCTTCCGAAGTGCGGCTGCAGGACATGCACGTTCCGATGCGGTCGCTCTGTACGCATCGTGACGGCATCCTCGCGCTGTGGGAGTGGCTCACGCTCCACTGGGAGACGGTGCAGAGCCGACTCTCTGTTGGACTGGTTCTGTTCGGGATGGTGGTCGGGCTGTGTACGAGCGGATTCACGACCGACGAGCAGCGAGAACAGGTGCAGAGATTCTTCCAGGATAAAGCGTGCGACCTGTTCGACAAGGCGTTGCAGCAGAGTCTGGACGAGGTGAGAATGAAGGCTCGCTGGGTGCAGAGGGATGCAGAGGAAGTCAAGAGATGGCTGCATCGAGAGGGATATCCTATCGACATGGTGCCCAAGCAGTCGCTGCCTCGTTATGCAGTCGGTCTGGCTATACTGGGGCAGATGTACATGCTCGGGAGATATTTCTTTTGACTGCAGAGAGCAGTCCAGATATTCTGTATACACTATGCAGATATTACAGCAGAACCTGGAATATTCTCAGCTTAATAAGACCCTTTACTATAAAAAGTATTAAAATGGGTAAATAAGACAGACTTCAGCTATAGTCATTATTGAAAGGACTATACTCTATACTTGATAGAGACTGATTCATTGGCAGTATTACTAGTAATAATAGGTATCTATATAAAAGAATGAAAGAATGACTTGTCTCTTGACATGTCATTTTATGTCAAATCAGCCTGTTTCTCTTCTTTTCCACGAGTAGATTTAGGGTTAGGGTTAGGGTTGGTTTTGGTTACCATGTACTCCGTACTCCCAGGCGACGGTGAATTACCTTATATAGTATAGCGTTCCTATTAAGGGAAAGCGCGTCTTACGTATCTTGATCTCGACGTCTGCTCTATAAACTCAAGCTGCCTGCCTCAAAAAGAACGACGCACTTTAATCTTCTGTTTTCCACTCTCCCTCCTTTTACTGCTGCCTTCCCGCTATTCCTCTTGGCCGCCGTATCCGCTGCACTGCCCCCTCATCTCCCCCTCTTTCAACACCAATGGCAAAAATGTCGCATTGTTGGATATGATCAGGATCAGGTTGATTGATCAGACGCCTTGTCGCTTCTGCCATGTATCCAAGAAAATTTGGACCAGCAATACACCAGTTAGCCGCAGCATCCCGGCCATAATGAAGATCAGAATGGATCTGTAATTGATGCTGTGGAAGGCCTTCTGTCGCAGCCCTTATAAATAGTATTCCCCATCCCTTTAGTAATTTTGCTAAAAACGGCTAAAAGTAGTAAATTATCCCAGCTCCCCTATAAGCAGAATGTAGACTTCTTCCATTTATACCTAAGTAGAGAATAGCCTGGAGTAGAACAAGAAGGGTATATTACTAAATTATTCAATAAGGGCCTGACTATAGGGAAAAACATTTAAGAGTCGGATGTCTACAATCCTGCATGGTAAAGAGATATATGGCTCCTTAGTTGATGCCAATTTTTGAAGCCTCCAGGACAAGAAGCACATCTAAATACAGATCCATGAGTGTCCAAGTGCTTCTTCAAATTGCGTTTCCAAACCATAGCAGCACACCAAGGACACTTCACCCTCATAGAAGTACACCGTATACATCTCGTAGAAGACGGCCGCAAATCCCACAGCCTGGATAAAACTATCTGCAAGATCAATCACTGATGGAGGCAATGTTAGCGCCCGCAAAGCATCTTCCACAGGCTACCCGTTGCGAACCCAATAGTCCGAGATCAGGTGAGTGGGCGGCTTACGCAAAGCTAGCTAGATAACTCGCATGAAAGCAAGACAAGTTGGTGTACCAAGAGGAATATAAATATTTGCATCTTTTCTTTCATTGAAGCTGGAAGCCGGCCGAGTATCATACTACTTCTCTTTGATCTCTCTGAGGATTTAACAGAAGTTGGCTTATTGAAAATCAGAGTCATCCGAACGTAAGCCTTTGCGCTTTCAAAATGGCTACACAAACGATTCGATTTTTAACAGTCTCCCAAATTCAACGACTTCATGCAAGATTTGTCATTCCCAATGCCGTTCCAGCCCAGCCAAGCCTGCTAGAGTCTGTAGTCTATTTGCCAATGAACATGAAACATTATGCAAAAGAGGATGATGTTTTTCAGCTTGCTGCGAACCTTGCTGAGAAAATAATGAAAAACCATGCCTTTCAGGATGGGAACAAACGCACCGCCTTACTGGCCGCTGATATGTTCTTGAAGATCAACGGCTACTACCTTTAAAAAGTGCCATTCGCGGACGATCCACACAATGAGGGGCTAGCAAATGCTTATGTCGCCATTATTACCAACCAATGGACTGCTGAACAGTTAGGAAACTATTATAAGTCTGTAGCAGCACCTCTTGTTCCGGCGACTGCAGAAGTCATGGAATATAGAAGTTCAGCTACCAAGTACTAGTCTCATACTCTCCATCGGCATCTTTGAGGCTTTGGATGGCTTCTGTGTGGTGTTCTGATTGCAGGATCCTGTTCAGATGAGGTTTATAGTCACAAAGTATTTGATTTTGCATATTGATTGTGTATCTTATATATTTTTAGTTATCTTTACTTTAAATAGAAGGGAAGGAGGCCTATATAATAGAAGTCTTTATTAGTTTAGTACTTACTCCTACCACTTTATTAACTATTATATTATCTAATTAAGACTGCATTACATTCACCATGCTTTCCTTTAATATGCATATTAATTGCTAATTAAATAAAGCACATTTTAAAGGCAATTATTACTATTACCCTTTCTCTGGGTTCTTGTCGTACAGTCGCAATCCCTCTTCACAGTCATATATTAAACAATTCCTGCTATTGCTACAGAGAAAAACAGCCCTGAAATCACATATCCTTCAGTTGGTGGAGTACGCTGGCCAGGCTCCGTCCAGTAACACTTGCCTTCTCGGCAAAATTTGCTAGATAGATAGCATGGATCAGTATCCATAAGACGGGAAGGACTGGACTAGTTTGTACCATCATCTGTTCCATCTAGAACTATCTCGTACATCTTTCCGCTCAGATACAAGGTTGCAGGGCTTGTATTTGACTTTGTGGGGTGAGGAATCTGGCTTGGGACATAGAGGCGGGGATAACTGGATGATTCTAGCAATAAAAACGTACTGTTAGCATCGGCTGTACTAAACAATCATACAATGACAACTTACTGAACCCAAAGTGTTGCGAATCATGGAAATATGTAAGTTTACATCTATCTTCAGCACTTGCTGCAGAAGCAGCTGTACAGGGACTGGCAGCACGGAGTGCACTACTGACCCCTTGATCAATCAAAACATAAGTCTCTCCCGGGTTGCCAATAATAACGGGCACTTTGTTAGTAATCAGATGTCCTTTCACGTCATGGGTGATGAAATCTGTTGTGACTCGATGAAAATGTCGCGCGAATCGTGCGCCTCCGGTGATATGAAAGGATGTCAAGGGTCGAGAAGCGCGGCGAAACATATGGGATCGAACTAATTGAAGACTCAAGTCCATGAAGGGCCAAAGCTTCGTATTTGAGACGTATTATGAGCTCTCTCGGTTGCAGAATGCGTATGCGCGATAGGGGTTGATGACAGACTCAACCTGGAGCGTGCTCTGAGTTACCCATTCCGAAGGAACGGGATCTCAGAGCGGATAAATATATCCGCATGTCGTTACTGTAAGGAAATCCCTAGCTTTCAGGTCAACTCAAAAACAGTTCAGGTGAAACTGTTTTTCCGTTCAGGCCACAGGCTCAGATAGATCGTCGGATATACTATCTTCCGAGCTGCCCCAAACAGGCTTAACGCCTTGCAAGGGTTAGCAGGAGTCATTGCCGTGTCACCGAGTGGTGCCTCGCGACCGAACACCTCGTTAGCCTTCCGATCACTTAATGTTCAGGTATCCATTAATTTAAGCATACGCGCGCGAAATCTCAGTTGTACATATATATAGATGAACGCTAATGGAAGAAGAGAGGATATAGTTAGGGCTTCCAAGGAACCAGAAACTCTTTTGTACCCTTCCGGGACCTCAGGGCTTGGAAATCTAGCCAAATAATATAATTTATTTAGGAAGGGCAACCCCAGTCCAGGAAGGGTTGGCGCCAGTTCAATCTCATTCATACATAAGAAGGAAAGGTGGTGTGAATGTGCATATAAACCTTAAATAAATCTTATAATATCTAATTATTTACTGCCAGGCAAATAGGCGTTGGGCAAAGAACTAGTCTAGAGCACAATAATAAATATTATAAACCCTTATATATTAGTGAGAGGCTAGGTTTACTACCTATTTTTATTTACTTATTAAATACTTTCACCATGTCATCTCTACCTAATTATTAGAAACTGAATTTCCCCCTGGCGGCAAATAAATAGATAGGAAGTACCCTTTACTGCGCAATATGAGGCACTCCCCTAGTTTCTTGGCGCACAGTATCTCCTGCCAATGGGTTATTGGCAGGTATGAAAGGTCTGAGGGCAAAGCTGTAAGGCCGGCACTGACGCCGCCCTATAAGCCAGCTGACTAAGTATACCATGCAACTGTTAGTCAACATTAGGCATTAGTTAGACACCTATTAAGTACCCTACTTAAAGTTAAGATATATATTATTCTCTTTAGATAAAATAGAATTTTAAGCACTTTATCTTATTCTTTTATTAAATTTATTATAGACTCCTTATATCTTTAGATCTTATTATTATCTAGTTATATTAATATTTTACTTATCTACCTTTAATAGTATAAGATTACTACTTATAATTTAAAGTACTTCTTTTATATATTAGATTAAAGTAACCTTAATTTAATATAAAAATTCTAAGGCTATAAGAGACCTATACTTAAAAATAACTTAAAATAAATAATATATTAGTAATAAGCTATTATCTTAAGAATATTAAATTAATTATTAAGGATATTTAACTATTCTTAAGTAACCTCTAGTATTAAGGTATCTATAACTAATTAATTAAATACTAATATAAATAAACTAATTTATACTATAGAGGGGCCTAAAGTACCTCTTAATATCTTAATAAATTAAATAAAGGAATAGTTAATTTAAGAATTTCTTAAAGATTTATCTAATAATCTACTAACTCTCCCTAGACTTATAACTAATTAGAAGTATTAAGATACTATACTCTAGCTAGCTCTTATAAATAATAAAGTACTATAATAAATATTATATATTATTAAATAATATTTATTAATAGAGGCTATTAAATATTTAAAGCCTAAATTCTATATAAATAAATCTATAAAGAAGCTTTATCTTTAGAAATATAATTTTTTAGCCTATATAGAAGCTAAATTATCCTCTTTTTAAAAAGAAGAGGATAGAATATAGTATATTAAAGATTAACTTTAAAATAATATAAAAATAAAATAACTAAGGTGCTATAACTTAGAATTATAGACTTTAATTAGACTATTTAACTTCCTATATTAATAATATAAGAGAGACTATAATAAAGGATTAATTATCTTTAATAAACTTTAAAACTTATAATAAAAGTAGAATTAAAGTATTATAAATTTTTTTAGTAACTAGAAGAATATTATATAAATATCTATTATAAGTTAAGTAATTACTAAGAATCTTATTTAAAACTAATTCTTTATATATATAATTAAATTAAAGCTATATAAAGAGATTATTAAGAATTTAATTATTTTTTATAATATTAACTTTATTATAAGCTTTCTCTTAACTATTAAATTTAAGAAGTATATACTAAAGGATTTAAAATAAAGTAATTTATAAAGAGTAGAATTATCTATTTATAAAGCTACTAATTATAATTTATTAATAATTATAATATTAATACTTAATAAAGGCACTAGTAACTAGTATAAAAAGTCTTAAAAAAGAGAGAGAGATAAGGATACTATAAAGAATATAAAAAGATAATATTCTTCTTAATAACTCTTATTAAAGGAATATAAGTAATAAATAAAAGAAAAATACTACTTTATTTATAATAAGACTAGATATATTTCTCTAAACTACCTTAAAAAGGAGAAGAAGATAGGTTAAAGAAAGAATAATATTAAAAAAATAATTAATAATCTTAATATTATTATAATAAAATAAGAACTCCTTAATATACTAGTTTTAGCCTATATATAAAGAGATAACTCTAATTAATCACTCTTTATTATAGCTAATATTTAGATTACTCTTAAAATTAGGTGTATTAAAATAAAGATACTATTAAATAATAGTATTTAAGAAGACTTTATTTTTTATTACTTTTTATTTATTAATAACTTAAGTCCTATATATAAATACCTAGGATCTATTAAGTTTATTAATAGCTAGACTATCTTTTACTTTAGTTTATTCTCTTTAATAACTTTTATTTAAGATATCTAAAGATAAGTAGAGTAATATAATATCCTTTATAATATTATTAATATATAGAAATATAACCTTATACTAAAATAAATATAGTTAGTATATATTAACTTATATATTAATTTTATTACCTTAATCTAATATTATTTTAAATAATTTATTAAATAAATTAAGATTAACTCTATAAACTATTTTATTAAGCTCTCTTATAATAAAACTATTTACTTCTTATTTATAGACCTTATTTTAGATTTTATAGGGGCCTTTAGTCTATCTAAAGTTTATTAGGCCTATAAGAGTATCTTCTTTAAATATAAGATAAGACTCCTTTTTATAGAAACTATAAAATATAAGATTAAACTTATAAGTAATAAGCTGCCCCTCTAGGGGGCTATATATAACTTATTAGCCCCTAAACTAAAGATACTTTATAAGTATCTTTAAGAAAAGATATAATAAGGCTAGATTTAGCCCTTAATAAGCTCTATTAATATACTTATTCTTTTTATTAAAAAATTAAATAATATATTATAATTATATATTAACTATAAGGCTCTTAATATAATTATTAAAAAAGACTATTACCTCCTATTATATATTAATAAGCTAATAGATTAAGTAATAAGTATAAAATTCTTTATTAAGCTTAACCTATATAATACTTATTATTAAATCTATATTTATAAAGATAATAAATAGAAGACTTTTTTTTATACTTATTATAATTAATATAAATATTTAGTAATATCTTTTAGACTTATTAATATACTAGCTATTTTTTAATCTTATATTAATAAAGCTATATATAGAATCTTAGATATTTTTTATATAATTTACCTAGATAATATCCTTATCTTTTTAGAATTAGAAGAGGAATATATTAACTATATTAATTAAGTATTATATTAATTATATATTTATAATCTATATATTAAGTTATTTAAGTATAAATTCTATAAATTAGAGCTAAAATTCCTTAGCTTTATTATAGATTAAGATAACTTTAAAATAGACTTAGCTTATATTAATATTATTAAGAAATAACCTAAACTATAAATATTCTATAACTTATAAGTCTTCTTAGGGTTTATAGGATACTTTTATTAGTTTATAGATTAATATTTTAACCTAATAACACCCCTTATTAATATTACTTAAGGAATAAAGAAGAGGAAGCTAATATAAGCTTTTATATTAATATTTATTATAAAAGAGACTTTTAATAAGCTTAAAGAAGCCTTTATAAATCTATTTATTTTAACTTATTTTAACTTAAAATAAGAACTATATCTAGTAATTAATATATTTAGGTTTATAATTACTATAATTTTATTATAACTAGAAGATACTAAAGGAAAACTTAAGATAAGAATAAATATATAATATTCTATAGCTTTTTACTCTTAAAAGCTAAATAATATTAAATAATAATATAATACTTATAATTAAGAGCTTCTAGCTATTATTAAGATATTTAAGACTTAATATTACTATCTTAAAGGCTCTAAGTATTCTATATAAATATAAATTAATTATATTAATTTAAGATACTTCTTTATTATAAAGATATTAACTATATACTAGGTATATTAAGTAGAATTATTAGCTTTATATAACTTTTATATTAAATATAAGCTAAGGAAGATAAATCTAATAAATACCTTATTATACTATTGTGATATTGATGGGGCTATATATATCACTTAACTAAATATACTGCTAGAAAGCAGTATATTAAATGCCTTTTTAGTTGAGTGGTTAAGTACTTGGCTAAGAATTTCTTATTATACTGCTTTCTAAGCCAGAACTATTAAAGCATACCCTATATTTAAAACCGGGCAAGGTCAATTTGCCTAATTTTAAATTAATTATTATCTATTAATTAGGGGCTTACTAAAAGTTATATAAGATATCTAAAAGAGATATAGGGTTATATGATTCCAGGAATTAGTAAGCCAATACCTAGGGCACTATATATAGATTAACTCCTATTTAATAAACCCTATTATATCCTAGGGTTAAGAAGACATCACTCCTAGAAAGAAACCACCTCTAGACTTTAAGAAAAAACTATAAGGTCATAGTTAAGTCTAAGTGGGGGAGGATATGATATTAATAGGGCTATATATATTACTTAACTAAATATACTACTAAAAAGCAGTATATTAAATGCCTTTTTAGTTAAGTAGTTAAGTACTTAGCTAAGAATTTCTTATTAGATATAATATTATAAGTAAGTGATATTAAGAACTTTTATATAGCTATAAGTAAGATTACCTTAGCAGAACACTAAGGTGCCTACTCACTAATAATATAAGATCTCTTAACT